TGAAGTTGTTGCAGCTGGCGGACTACTGAGCGGTGGAACCGGTGAACTCGGCACACGGGGCTGAAATTTTCATTTCCGGCATTAAGATGATTTATGCAAGCTATTTTGGCGTTTTTACCTCAGTTTTACTTGAACACAAGTGGTTTTTCGCAATTTGAATTGCTAGCTTTTGATAAAAAAGCTTCCGTCTTTCAACAGAATGATAAAATTTCTGCAACAAAGTAAAAACCCCCGTCAAAACTGTCGTGATTTTTGCCGGAAAGAAACCTAGTTCAGTGGTGAGGCGAAGAGAAATGATACATCACCTCGCTGCGAAATGACACATCCAAGAGTTACAATTCGTGACGAGTTTACTGGAAAAATGCAAAAACAAAAAAAAAACTGAAATGAGGGAAATTTTTTACTCAAATGACGATTTTGTTGCAAAACTTTAATTTTATGCTGAAGATAAGTGTTTTTTGAAGCTTCCAGTGCATAACAGGCTTTTCCCAGATTTTCTGTCTCGAAATTTTTTTATTTTTTTTAAGACTTTGCAGTTTCTAGTTAGGATTAATGCTGTCAGTCACTAGCCTATCAAACCCTCGAAAAATATACTCTGCTCTTTCAATGCCAAAGAAACTTTCAAAAATCTTAAGTACCATCAGCTTTGTGATTTAGCACTGTCCTATTGAAATCGGCAAGACAGATTTACATAAAGAATACTAGCCAGATTACACAGTGCTGTAACTTTCGAGCACAGGAAAATGCTGAAGCGTTGGCATAAGTAAACACAGAAGGAGCAGCCAAAAAAAAAAAAACCTGAGAGATACAAAATTCTGCTAATCTCCAAGCAGAATGAGGCGATTTTTTCTGTGCTGTTAGTTTTACTGCTAGAAATTTAAAAATTAAGTTCAAATTCAGTCCCGGACTAAATAACGCCTATCAAATGATTTTGAATCTCTCCAACTAAAATAAAAAGCAGTCGGCCAAATTTTTTTCGGATCAAATTTTTACCCATTTTTGTACCTTTTCAATTTTGATATCTCTGAAACAAGATAAATTAGAAAGCGGTAGCGTTTTTGTAGTATCAGTAGGTTCTGTTCAACAATCATTTATTTCTCGATTTTTTTGCAATTTTTAATTCCCTACAAGTTCTTAATCATTCTGGTCGTGGTACTACTGGATGATGGAACTGAAGTTGCTCTTTGTGGGCGCAGAAAAAAATAAATGGGTGATTGCTGCAATTAATAGTTAAACATTCCTTCCGTAAGTGGGAAAAAGAGTCATAATTTTTGACTTCTTGTTCAAAAGGTACCGGTTAGGTAGGGTCAAAATAGGGCATCAAAGTTGACCAAAATCAATCAAAAAATGGAAAAAGTATAACAGAAATCACAGGAATAATTTGTTCTGCAAGTTAATAAAGCGAATGAAGTAACAACAGAAAGTTTTCCAGCAACTGCTAAGAGACGAAAGCTGATTTCTCGAAGAAATGAATTTTTAAAAACAGCGATCTGCTTTGGCACAATAAAGTGATTCGGTTTTTTGGAAGCAGTTGCAAACAGATGTGTGCATCCCCAGCACCCATCTTCAGCTGCAACACGTCCTTTAACTAATAAAAAAACCTCTGAGAGAAAAATCTGGATGTCGTGAGAAATAAAAATGTTTAGTTTCGAAAACTAGTGGCGGATTACGAAGTATTACTCATCCGTTTATTAACTAACAATTATACTGAATAAAGATTTAGGGCGACAAGATCGAAGAAAAGCAGAAAGTTCATGTGTGTTTCAAAAGATCTAGCCTAACGGATTAAGTAAACTGCCGATGCGAGAATAGTTATTTTATTATTTCGTTCAGCAACAAGACTGTTAACAGTAACAGCGTTCGCTGCTTCACATTTTGATATATGCTTTCTTGTTAGAAGTCTTCTTTTTGGTTTTTCCCCACGTTCGGGAGACGAGCTATCAGCTGAGTCGCTGGCGTTGCACTGTGGGGCCTCGTGAAATTTCAGCTTTCTAACATGTCTGATTGCCGAAAGAGGAGAATGTCAATAATTTTGCAGAATGAAATTTTTCGACATGTCTGTATAAATTACCTAGGTATGAGTGGAATTTTAGTTTGCACTTGTGGACTGACACATGGATATCAAACATCCACGTAAAAATTCAGCTTTCTACACAACATCCGACTTTTAAGAAGGGTGCCAACAATTTTGATCGTGCGCCAGTATGCAAGGTGTACACATTCAAAAAACCTCGCAAAAAATACATTTTTCATTTCACTGTCGATGTAAAGCACATAAAAAAAACCACCCATTCAGTCACCTCTTCTGGAAAGAAAAAACAGGACGGTACTAAATTGAAATACAGATGGGATGACATAAGAAAGCAAAAAGGTTTGAAATCGAAGAGCATATTTAAATTTAGAACTGACCTCAAGTGAATATTTAAATAACGAATACTTCACCACCGCCTGCATGCTTCCTCGCAGACTGTAGCAGTAGAAATGAGGAAAAGGTGGCAAGCCGTAAGTGCTCCCTCACTTGTTGAGATTTGGAAAGCCTTTTTATACTGGTGCAATGTACTTTTGAATGCTCGGAATGGGGAGGCAGCAGTGCGAGGATGAAAAATTCTCACTCACTACTCTCAGTACTGCGAGAACTCTTCAGGACGCGGTGTGGGAGCAGAGCGTGGGGAGCATTAGGGGAGGGGGTCCAGGCTAGAACCGGGAACCCTCTTGAGGGTTGCGGCACGGGGGCGGTTCATATTTATCCTTTAGTTTTTGTTTGGATTGCTCCTGTGAAGTTGCCATCAGTTTTGTGTTGATTAAGCAGTTTACTGAGTGGTGGCCAGCTGCGAACGCTTATCAGTGTTGACTACTACCGGAAAGGAGCTTACGGCTATTGCACCCAGTGCTTTCACGAGATCATCTTTTCATTTCATTTCTCGAAAAGAAGTTGAAATAGCGGAACCATGTTTTCGGGAACGGCCCATACTAGGAGGCTGGAACTTTGAAGTTCCAGCCTCCTAGTATGGGCCGTTCCCGAAAACGCTTCCCTGCCAAAAGAACTTTCACGTGCTCCTACATGAGAACCACACAGACTTGGGCGCCCATTTTGAGGATACGAGCCCGCACGTATGTGTAGATTAAGAAAGGGGAAGAAGAAAGATCTGGCAATAGCCCCAAAATTTTTTTTCATAATTATCATCAAGATAACAAATCCCCATCTGTTGCTGTTAAATAGTAATTCAATCAGTATAGAAGTAGATATAAACAAATAAGTAAAAGAAGAAGTTTAACAATAGTAGTATATAAGCGTAGGTAAATCTTTATTAACTTACTTGACCCGTCCAAAGATTCGACCCAACTTCAGCGCTCAGGAAACTCAGAAAGAAGGTATTAATTAATAATCCCGCAGGGTAGGGGGCAGCTTTGCGCTATCACTTGAATGTTACGGCGTCAGACAGCAGGATTTTGCTGGCTAGTTCTTACAGAAATGTATAAATCTACAATACGGAGCGGTATATAAGTTTGTACGAATTAGCCGTCCGCTACACCTAAAAAAACCTAATTTTGTTGCGAGAAATTTTCGAAAGTGTGAATGATAACAACTGGAAATTTCGTAAAACGGATTAGAAATAATGGGTAAATAGGACATCATTTCCGAGTGATAAATCATTAGGAAGACAGTTAATGTTTTTGGTCAATTTCACAACTCAAAAAAAAATGATAAATTTTTGGAAAAACAGTAATTTCAAAAACACAGATTTCTTAATTAATTAACGATTGAAAGACAGAAAAACGTCAGAGCTCTAAAAAACTTTAAAAAACAATTAACAAAAATGTTAATGTTTGAAAGAATTCAAAAATCAACATGCACATCATTGTAAATGTTGCCTTTCTTGTGTAACTTAGTTGTCATGAAAAGTCTAAAAAAGTAATCCTTTCACAGAAGAAAGCAGCTTAGAGCGAGAGAGATTAGTGGACCCTAACACAGCTGTCGGCGTGAACCAGAACAGTCGAGACTTTCTCGTCGAAAAATGCAAAATCAGTGACCTCAAAACTGTTT